GTTGCATTAGGTAGTTGTTTTATGAGGAATCAAGGAGCTCTCTGCCAAGAATACTTAGAAATAAGTCCGAAACTAGTTTGCCGTAAGCAGCAAGTTCCCTTTGTTAGGTTAATTCCTTTTATAGTTTGTTCATCTGAAATATTTTAAAGCTATCTCCGATGTATAGGGTGCAGGCGTGTTGACCGTGTTCCATGATAGTTTTATTTTGTAGCTCTCTGGAAATTTCTCAGAAATTAAAAGTGCTGGATCCATAAAGTCTTTAACTGTAAACATGTCTATGTTTTGAACAAAAGCAAGTGCTTGGAATTATCTCCGAAGCTTGTTCAAAGAACCTGGTACAGGAACCACTTATGGCATACTTCATGCCATTTTAATGTAAACGCGTTAGGTAAACAAAGCATTTTTCCTGTAAAATTTCCTGTTCCCTGTTTTAGTGTGCACTGTGTTTCAGTTATGCACACTACAATGTACTTTCTGTACATATGTACGTCTATCATGTACCAGTGTTTCAGAGTTACATGTATTGAATTTATCCCATAGTCATTGATTTTTTAAAAGTATGAATGGACGGGGAGCAGCAGAATTTTCTCAGAGATCATGATTAAAACTGTAAACAAAATTATGCCGTGTATTTTCCACTTTTATCTCACAGTTTATTCTAAAAAGATATTTTCGTCAGTATGCTAAACCAATCGTTTAATAATCAATATTTATGTTTTCTATAAACTAATCTATTGTGTAACGTTAATTACAGTAAAAAATTAAACTGATTATTCAAGTTGATCGGTATTGTTCTTCCAAGATGGCTAAGCCTGGCTCACCACTTTTGTGCATTAAACATGCATGATGCAGGCCATGCATGACTAATTCTCATATCATGGGGGGGAGGGTGATATTGTGCACATACAGCGTATAAAACTACCAGTTTGTGTACAGTTTTGTATGCCGTTTCAATTACAAATGGTCACTATGTTTAGGTTTAGGGCTGTGGGCTTGCAGCCTCACACGTTTAACAAAGATTTCTGTATTCCAAGACAGTAGATGGAAGGGACGTGGTCTTCATATCGAAGACATTGTTTCAATAAATCAAGGTTTATTTTAATAATGCCATACATGTATACGACTCTGTGCTTCATTTGGTATGGTAGTTTGTCATAGGTATACTATAAAAATTGGAGGAGAAAATAAGTTCAGGGGCTTTGTACACATTTCATAACCCTGGCATGTGTACGGAAAAACTGTTTGGTTAAGGCTGCTATGTGTACACTACCTTTCTCTGTAAAATTTCTCATGAAAAATCAGTATTTTCCTTTTTTTAGGGATTCGTAATACCCAAAATACATGGGGGATTGATAACAAAAATGCAGACAGCCTGGATCTATTTAGACCTTTTGAATGGAGTGGCAGTGTACATATATGTTTTTTTTGAAGCTGTGTTTAGCTTTCAACTGACGTGGTGACGATCTCACCCAGTTTGGAGTTGGACCGTAAGAAGGTAACCAGTGATGGGTAATGGTCAACAGACACACAAATAAAGACATCTTGAATGAGCAGAGATTACTTTTTATTACTTTTCAATTTTATTTCAACATTTCACCATGATAGATGATTCATGAAAATGTACTTAGTTTCTTATACACAAACAGCAGCGAAGTGAATTGTGCCCACTTTATCAGACCTTCTAATTGAACATCCTCTGACATGATTGAACATTTCAACATTACTGCATGAAATACTGCTTTTGCTTTTCATAAATATATATTGAATACATTGAATACAGTTTTGAAGAGTATTCAGTTGCAGAACTTTCTGAATTACATTCAGAGAAATGAATTCAAAGCAAATTTGGCGATTCTAGTTTGATTTCTCGTGACCAAGCGAATGACGGCTTGTTTGTCACACCCTGTCAAGTGAAGACAGTCCTGATAAGATTTAAATGGTCAAAATGGTCAAAATGGTCATAGGTAATGTAATATAAAAGAATGTACTTTCAATGACCCTCTTCGTCAGTGATCCAGAATCCGACTGGAAAATGAAGATTTCTTTTTACACAATTTGTTTGATATAATATGGTGGAACAATCCCAACTCCATCTAATTACATATGCAACTGACTATTACAAAATGACTGTTCATACATTAAAATCTCCAAAATATAAATGGGAAAAGAGTTGGCTCTAAAGCACTGTCTTGCCCTGGTGGTAAAATGCCAAGTCAGAAATTGCCTTGTTGATTTGATGGACGCCGAATACGGTCAGAAACACAAGCTGAGGTAGTTCAGTATAACCGTAATTATTTGGAGTATGATTGTACACATAATGGGCTTTTCCATTAGAGCAAGCAAGTTCTACTGAGCACAAACACTGGAAGAACTCAATTTGCCATGAGAGGTGACGTCTGGAGGCACTGAGGACTATTCAACATTTGGGTAACTTTCTGAAAATGGTACTGTAATCAACAAATACCAGTTATCCTGCCTTCAACTTCACCTTGGGGCAAATGATATTCTACTTCCAGTGTTTGGACAACTTCTTCCACACTTGTGCCATCGTGGGGCGCTTTCTGAAGTCAATATGCTGACACCGCTTGCCAGTTCTGCGCAGTCGCCAGATTCCTGCTGCCTTTCCAATGTTTATCAGCAGGTCCCCTAATGCATAGATCTCGGCAGGCTTGTTGAATGGCGAGTCCCCCTCCATGACCTCTGGAGCCATCTGAGGACACTCCTGGTACATCTGATCAATGAAGTGCTCTGGGATACGCAGCCAGGGTCCTGCCACTTCAAGACATGCATTACCCAGATCAT